GTATTAAGCTTTTAATTTTGTCATATTTTGGGTGGGGTCGGTTATGCTACATAGTTATTGGTAATTTTGCTAAATGAAGGTTATACTTTGTTTTATTTAATTTAATATGAAGTAATACTACATTAGTACCCTATTTTACTGTCTCATGTTAAGGATTGCCATAGTACTAATTGTGTTGTTTCCCTGCTCTTTCAGCCCTTCATCTTCGGATCGACCTTGCTCGGCATTCCTCACCAGACACTTGCATCCATACCAGCTACTTACTTTGATTCATACTGTATCAGTACATATTCACCTTTTCTAAACCCACCACCTAAACATTTAGCTGCACACATACTTACACCACACACCTACCACAGGATACGAAATTTGAACCTCACACACACATACTCTCGGTTATACACAGAGGACCTATACAGATTTCCAGTTTCATCTCGCTACAAAAAAATATATATATATATAAAAATAAAAATAAATCATTGCATTTGTTGTTCTTGCTGCCTGGTTTGCTTTGTATTTGCTGCCTCTCCTCCCCCTCCTTTTGTCATCTTCCTTTAGCTCTGCAGGATGCCCAGGAAGAGTAAGAAGGCCCGGGCCGCCAAGGAACGGTTTCGGAAGCTGGATGTCGACGTCGCTCAGGTAAAAATGCTTAGAAACATTATTTCTGTTCCATCACTACTCTTTTGTTTCCTGGAGCTGGATGTTCACAGTTTTCTCTTTACCTCCAGCGTCCAGGAGTGCCAGGGACGGAGCTGGTTGGGCGTCAGAAGCTATCTGGGACCGGCGCACGTACGTACTTTGACTGTTTTAAAGGAAGGCTGGGGGATCTTCAGAAATGTTGTCTGCTGTTGCACTGCTCTCTTCATGTTTGTTTGGTGCTTGCCTCCTCTTTTCAGATGGGACGGGGTGGCGTCACAAGGTGCGCAGGTGGCCAACCAGCAGGGTGACCGGACGGAGCCACAAGCTGGTCCTCCCTCCTCCTCACCCAGACAAGCAGGTACTTAAAGTTCCTGACTCTCACAATCACCACATCACTGACTGCTGTGGTTCCAGGAGGCCTCCCTGTGCAGCACAGAGCCTCCCAGGGAGGATGCTGTGGAAAGGCTCCAGCTCCCTGCAGCCCCAGTCCCTGATCAGGAACATCTGGGTATGAAGGCTTCACCTGTGGAGGCTCCTGTTCTAACTTCAAGCCTCTCCTTTTTCTCTCCCAGTTTGTTCTTCTTGTAGGAGACTCCCATCTGCGCTCCGTTGCAGACGGGATCGTCGCTATGCCAGAGGGCCGCTTCTCCTTTGGCGTGATGTCCACCCCGGGGGCGTGTGCCAACCAGCTGAGGAAGGAGGTCGTGCACGCTGCCGTTCCCCGGACCCCTGACGCCGTGTGTGTCCTGGCTCCCAGCAACAACCTGACGGCCAGCCGGACTGTGGAGGAGGCGGGCGCTGCTTTTGGCCGTCTGCTGGCCACCGTCTGCACCCGCTGGCCTAAGGTGAGCGCCTCCTCCTGGTTTCTGACGTG